CGTAATCACATTTTCAGTGTCATACTTTTACATATCTGTCTCTGAAGGTTGTTCTGTATCCTTTATCAAATCTATGTATAATGTTGAAAACGTGCAATTTCATTCTCTTTCAGTCGGGTGCCGGAGGAGGAATGAGCAGTAGCGCCATGCCCATGTCACGACCCACCATGGGAGGCATGGATGGGAATGTAGGAGGCTATGCAGGTGCCAATGACATGACCAACAATGGGTTAAGTGCAAACCAGAATCAGGTGAGCCTAAATAAATCAGACAGCGGTAACAAGAAATTTACAGTTCTTAACTATCATAGATAAGCTGTGGTGAGAAATGAAGTGGAAAGAACAGCTATTACACCCGCTTATTTATGTAAACCCAAACAGTGATCGTTGACTCTTACATCCTGTCTTCGACTTCTTTGTGTGAACTGCATCAAAGATTTGTTGTTTTAAAAAAACATTTTCAGAAAAAGAAGTCCGTAGACTGGAACATAGCTTCTTTTAGCAGTGTGTGTCAGCTTGCTTACCCTGTCGACTTTTATCTCTCAAGGTGCTGTGTTTGATAAGAAGCTGTCCAGAACCGCAGGGTATTAGCATTCAAGAACTAAAGAAGAGACTCGGCAGCATGAGTATTGCTGTGATCAAGTAAGTTTTAAAGTGATAAAACAATATAAAATGAAAGTTACTTTTTGACTGTTGGAAAAGTAGAAAAGCTCTTACATACACTGAAACAGACCAAGAGGCAAACAGAGCTGCATCCACTTAAATGACATTCACATTATTATTTTACTTTTTACGTTGGGTTTGTACCGTCATAAAAAGGATGGTTTCAAAAAGAGAGAAGCTCACACAAAATTACAACATACATTTTTCCAAATAGCAAAGAGATTTTGCAACAAAGTTTCACTACAAAATGAATTCCCACAAGTTAAACTCTCAACCCTTTATCTGCAAAATGGACTTGGTCTGAACAACACAGTCACTGGAGGTACAACACTATTAAACAAACTGAAACCAAGAGAGAAGGCCTGTAGTGGCTAAAGTGTTTTGGTTTTTTTGGGGGGTTTTTTACAAGTCAAGAGTTAACACATTATTTGTGATGGAGAGTTAACTTTAGATGTGTTCTAGCAAGCTGCTTTAATGCTCTAAAACACTTTTTAAAGGACAAGCTGAATGCTTTCGTTTGGCATCTTGATATAAGTACGGTAGCTTTATGAAGGGATGGCGAGTGTCAAGATAACAAAGTTTCCTCCTTATCTTATTACGGATCAAGACCACATTGTCTTTGTCCTTCAAGGCTTACTGTTTGGGTCAGTTTATAAAAACTTTGCTCTCAGTTACTTTCTTTTGGTGCATCCCACTATGCAAGATTTGAGCAGGGACAGTACAACCTACAACTTTTTACAAAAGTTTAAAAATAATAATAATAGAAAAATGCAGTTACACCCTTTTGGTGTTAGCAGTACATACGTTATGCAAACTACAGGAAGTGTATGTCCAAGACTTTAGAATGACCCGAGTGAAACACCCACTGCATGCTAATTTGGTAGTTTTGCTTTGTTTTCTGAAACTGTACCAGAGTGGAATTTTGTATTAGATTTTTTTTTCTTTTATTGTATTTTTTTTAAAGAGATTTTCCTTTAGTGTACAGGAAATGATTTGTCTACTTGGTACTCAGTTTACAAATATTTTATTTCATGGTATTATTATTATTACCCTTCTAATTTCTTTTTAATTAGATTTTTTAGCACTTCTAAAATGCTGTTTACTTTTGCTTTAACAGACAAGCTGTGGAGTTCCTTAGCAACGAAGGTCATATCTTTTCCACCATCGACGAAGATCACTACAAATCAACTGACAGTGATGACTAGACTAATTCATCTTGTTACCTTCAGTGAGGTTACGTATTTGAAATAATTGGTACATCATTTATTACTGAAGGCTATCACATAAGTAACAACCTCCCTGAGTCTATAATGCCACAGAGCTGTGCGAAATGCTGCAAGTCTGTCGGCACTGTGGTCTATGTTTGTTGAAGAACACGTGGTTTACAAATGGTGAAACTCAAGGTTTACACATCCTGTATTCCTGATGTTGCTTCAGCCATTTCGCCCGAAAAAGTTTCTGTCACTGAGATTATTGTTGGCAGTTACTACTTTCTTTCTGTTTATGCATCTTTCTTCTTCTGTAAAACATCTTTCTTTCTTTCTTTCTTTCTTTCTTTCTTTTTAAAGATTTGGAACATAAGTAATCCAACTTTTTTTTTGTCTATGTAATTTAGTTTTGCCAAAATAAATTGATTATTCAAAATGTATTTTTGTTCTGTCGGTTCAGTTTATCAAGTTGTATAAGCCCCTTTTTCTGGTATAGTATACACACACATGTATGTATGTATGTAT